GCTTGGATTGGTTTTTTTTGAAAACATGGTCTGACATTTATGCCCTTTAATTTATGAGGGCAAAAGCTGTACTGAAGTAGTATAATAATTTCCACTGATCTGTGTTATCTATTTTATTTGGTGGGGGGAGCCCTGGTGGCGCAGTGGTTAAACGCTCGCCTGCTAACCGAAAGGTTGGCAGTTCGAACCCGTCAGCCGTTCTGCAGGAGGAAGATGTGGCAGTTGCTTCCATAAAGATTACAGCCTTGGAAACCCTATGAGGCAGTTCTACTCTGTCCTGTAGGATCCCTCTGAGTCAGAATCAACTTGATGGCAATGAGTTTGGTTTTTTGGTTTTGAGTTAGATTTCATGAGGAAAACTTTATTTAAGGTCACAAACGGCTGCTGTAAAGTAGCCCGTTTCTCCTCTTGCTCCCCACAGCCAGTCCGTGCTTAGAACTCTAATTTTTACTTCCTTAACCTTTAAACATACCCTTTTGTTTTTACTTCCTCTGCCAATTCCTACCAGTAACCAGTTGCCATCGAGTCACCTCCAACTCACAGCCACCCATGTGTGTCAGAGTAGAATTGTGCTCCATAGGGTCTTTAATGGCTGATTTTTCAGAAGATTGCCAACCCTTTCTTCTGAGGTACCTCTGGGTGGACTTGAACCTCTACATGTTTGGTTAGCAGCCAAGTGTGTTAACTATTTCCACCACCCAGGGACTCCTGCCAACACCTAGTCCTGGCCTTTTGTTCCAGGTCCCCAGCCTTTCTTTCTTAAAGCACAGATCCAATTTCTAGTTGTGTTTTCTCGTTTCAAAAACCCCCGTAGCTGTCTTCCCTTGGCAGCCTCAGGCTGCCTCCTCTGAGCCCCATTTCCTGCTTGCATCCCAGCCTCTTGGGTCTCTTCCTCTCCTAATTTATGCCTCCCCTTCCTCAGGCTGCCTTTTGCTTATTTATTTATGGAGGGGTCTGTGAGTTTCTTGACGTCAGGGAGCTGTTTTCCTCATTTCCCATAATTCTGAGTCCTTCCCAGTGTCTGCATACTCGGAGCTCACTGCTAGGTGAACTGACCTGACCCCCGCACCTGAACGTCAGGGTGCCTCACAGTTATATCTGGCCCCATTTGTCCTCTAGGTGCGTAGTCTTCCTGCTCTTATTTTCGTGAGTCTAGTTTTGCACTGAGCAGGGAGTGCCCACGCTGTCAATGGCACTATAAAATATTAAAGGTAATCAGTCTTTGCTTCCTCCCCTCCAGGAGCCAGGGTCTCCTCCTGCCTCCCCGTCCTCTCTCTCTTGGTCCTGCCAAGATGACTTGGAGCAATTGCAGACGGTGGAGATGGGTGGCCAGATAAGAATGCTTAGCCTGGCCAGGGAGCAGAAATGACCCCAGAGGCTCAGCCACAGCTTGGGGCCAATCAATCTTTAATGAGATCTGTCTGAACACCAGACAGGAGTGGGGGCGAGGTGGGTGGGAGAGCTTGGATTTTTTTTTGAAAACTTGGTCTAGACATTTATGCCTTTTAATTTATGAGAGCAAAAGCTGTACTAAAGTAATACAATAAATATATTTTTATATTGCAGTTTAAAATGTCAGAAGCTTAAATACAACTTTAAGGAACTTACGTTTAAGGCTTAACTTTCAGGATTAAGGAAGCGTTCCAAAGCACAGCTTGAGTAGGCCCAGTTAAATTCAAGACATACGATTGCCACACATTATGAAGTGCATAGAGCTTTAAAACATCATGGCGCAGGCTTTTATTTTGATGTTGGTATCACCTTTGCTTTTAGCTTAGAGAGGATCAAGATGATTTATTTCATGTCAGATTGTGACTTTATCTGGTGATTACTTTTTCTCCTCCAGGCAGGGATGTGGACTTAGTGATGAAATGAGTTTGGGTTTCATTAAGTTATTCTCATCTTTTGTTGTGTAAGCCATTCTACCAAGTGGGATTCAAGTTCCCCTTTGGGGCCAGAACAGGTATCCCCAGGGCCCCCTCTCATTCTCACTACGTCACTCCACCTGTGTCCATGCTCACTGGAGTAAAGGCTGAGCATCATTTTAAAGTTGTTGCTTCTCATTTTTCATAATAATAACAATTAGTTATTATAAATACGATGATGACTATTATTAAGGCTGCAGTGAACAGTCCATCCTTGCTTATTCCCATAGGGCGGTATTTCCCAGACCATGTTCCCTGGGACACTCATTAGGAAGACTTTAGGTGGTCAAATCCATCACTTCAAGTGCAGTGCACCACTGTCAGTGTGTTGTACTATGGTGGCTTGTGTGTTGCTGTGATGCTGGAAGCTATGCCACCGGTATTTCAAATACCAGCAGACTCACCCATAGTGGGCAGGTTTCAGCAGAGCTTCCAGAATAAGACAGACTAGGAAGAAAGGCCTGGTGCTCTACTTCCGTAAATTAGTCAATGAAAATCCCATGGATCACAACAGAATACTGTCTCACAGACTCAAACATGGCAATGATAGTGAAAATGGCGAAGGACGAAGCAGTGTTTCGTTCTGTTGTACGTGGGGTCGCCATGAGTTGGAGTCGACTTAATGGCAGCTAACAACAGGAGTGAACTGACCTTGATCATTCCACACTCTCTCACGCGGTCACTTTGTGACCAGGAGCTCCGCGCGCAAGGTGGGCAGCATGTGGTCGAGGAAGGAGACTGGCTGATATGCCCACCACGTGGCTGAACCCATGACTTGCAAATCAGCTAACCTTTCTGGTTGCTTCTTCTCTTGTAGTTCCAGATGTCCGAGTCTTACCTCTTCAATAGGACTTTAAGCCCTTGAGGGCAGGACTGGTCATATATTTCTTTCGCATTTCTGACAGCACTTGCACAGAGCTGGTACGTTGGGATGGAGCAACCTAGTTATGCCCAGGCAAGGGAGGAGGGCTGCCATTCACCTTGAGTGCACTGTGAATGGTGCCGGGGCTGTGCCGTGCAGCTGTGTTATGTAAAAGGCACTCAGCAAGCTGGGTAAGCTGAACTGAAATTACCTACCACAGAATAAGTGGTAGGTAAAATGTGTGACAAAATATTAAAACAAAATTTGCATTCTTTTGACAAGTTCAGAACTATTTTTCATATTGCACTTTCTTCCCCTTACTTTGACATCTGTGGTTATCAAAAGCAAGATTCCCAAGTACTACTTAATACAAGAGCATTTTTATATAATGCATGAATCCATATTATATTTTGTAACAGCACTTTGGAATCATGTATTAATCTACCCATTTTCCTACGAGAGGTGGTTTTGTAACCTTTCCCTTACTTGTGGGGTTGCAGAAGAAATACCAAAGGTGATGTGACTTGCCTAAAATTCTATGATTGGTTGTTGTCAGATAGAGCTGAACTAGGACTGCATTAAATCAGGACCACTGTACTCATACCAGCTGCTGTGCTGTTACCAGTCATTTTAATTTATTTATGCTGTAAACCTCCACCTCTCGCCTACTTCATGAAGGATTTAGGACAGAGACAAAACACGTAAGTTCATAAGGCTCACTTGTGAAGAGAGAGGTTAAAAAAAAAATGTTTGCTTAGTATTTTAAACTCTGTAGAAATACCTGAATTTCCTCCGGATACGGAGTTAGAGTCCTCTACAGCCAACACAACATTAGAAGTTTGAAGTGGGGGCTGCCTGTGAATTCATGCCTTCCTCTGATCTCTGTTTTTAGCACCATAAGCTGGTTCTTTGATGCCATCTGATATCGTGACCACTTATTTAGTGTGTTTTAAGTGAGCGACTACAAAGCTATGCAAGAATATTAGGCCAGGTTCATTTCATTTTCTTTAGATCAGTATTTTTCAAGAGGCAGTCCTTGGGCTAGCTCTGTTAGAATCACGTGGGAGCCTATTAAAATGCAAATTCCTAGGCCCCCTCTCAGACCCACCGATTTGGAGTCTCTGAAGGTGGGGCCCCAGGATTTGCATTTTTAACAAGTTCTCAGGTGATTCTTGGGCACAGGTAAGTCCGAGAACTACTACTGAAAGTTGTCAGAAGAATGTCTTTTAAAAGGTTCCCAAGGGAAGATGGCTTCTCCCATTGCATATGTATTCTGGAAGTTGGCCCTTAGATCCCCCACCTTGCTCTTCTCCTCATGTGACATCTTCATTAGCACACTTTGCCAGGCATTTGGGACCCATCACAGGATTTCTTGGAGTTACTTTCAAATATCTCTGAAGCAAACAAATCTCTCACTGCTTCCACCTCAGATGAGGGGCAACAATATCTATCCCATCTTGTGTCCCCACAGGTCACACACTTGGCCACATGTGCTAGGTTCCCTGCCCCTGACAGCCCACGGAGACCCCAGTGACCCATCGTGGCATGTCACACCAAGCCTGTGCTTGGCTCCGAATCTCCATCCACACACTGTGGCAGTAGCAGCCACGGCCATTCTGTTGGTGTTGGGACTGAGTTAACACCTACGCTCAGTCTCTCCTCCTGACTTCAGAGCCTCCAGCAGGCTGTCCAGCACCACAGTGTGTGGGCATTTAGCAATTGTGCAGGCTTCTAGAGACCTTGAGGAATTCCAGCAGGCAACATTTCTCCTGTAGAACACGCTCAAGCTTGGTATTTCTATAGCCCAAAATACATTTGATTATTTTAAGTGTGCTGCAAAGTTTGAGGCCTGGGTAGATGAGTAGGTGTACACTTAGGTTCAAACAACATTAATTTGGTGCCGGTGAAAATTCTATGAAAGTGTGAGGGCGGGCTCTTCATCTCCAGGGGAAGGAGCAGTTCAAACAAGGATCTTAAAATGGGAGATGTTCATGGCAGGAGTAGACCAGTAATACCTTTAGTTTTAAAGTTGTGTGTACAACATAAAAAATGTTTAGCCTCACACGCTTTCTCACAAAATGTGGTCCTTTCAATTTCAGAAAATATGGCCAGTGCCCGTGTATAAAGGGAAAGGGGAATTCCAAGTGATGATGTTTGTTTGCGGGTGTCGGCATACTATAGAATCAACCTACCATGTTTTTCTTTCATTGCAGGTGATTTTCAAAGCAAAGTCAAAATATTCCCCAGAATTACTCAAATACCGGTAAGTACCCTGAGCATTTCTCCCTGTGGTAGAAGGTGAAAGTGGTTACACATTACCCTGTTAGCACATGTCACTTCTCTGGAGCTGGCAGCTGCCTGGAACAGCCCTGCTGGGTAAGTGTTTGACCACAACTGTCATATCCATTGCCCGTAAAGAGTCAGCTCCTTTAATCATTACTTACTTGATCTTGCAACATATTTGACTATTGCCTTGTATAGTCACGAGAGCCTCGTGCCTTCCACAGCCAGGAGGAAGTAGGCAGGAATAAAACAGATGTGGGTAACACATAAACCTTTCTGGGGCACTTGTGAAATAAAGAGCCCTTCACAGAAGGGTGGGTGGTACCAACAGGTAATGCACTCAGCTGCTAACCAAAAGGTTGGAGGTTGGAGGCCACCCAGAGGCACTTCGGAAGAAAGACCTGGTGATCTGCTTCTGAAAAACCAGCCATGGAAAACCCTATGGAGCACAGTTCTACTCTGACACACACAGTATTGCCATGCGTTTCAGTAGACTTGGTGGCAACTAGTTATTTAGCAGAAGGAAGAAGGTTCCCTGAAAATGGCAATGTGTGATCACAGTGTTCCTCCCCAACCCCCACCCTCTGGGACCCCAGGCCATGGCCAGTAGGGCCTTGTTGTCCCCCCAGCCCTACTCTCCTCCTGGCCTGCCTGACCCACCTTGTCTCTAGTTGTGGACTGCTGTTAGGCTCTTTATCTTCTGGAATGCCGCAGTCCATTGTACAGTTACAAGTTGTGCTACGGACAGTTACCATATAACTTGCTGTGGTTCTTGTTAGCTGCCAGCGAGTCGGCTCTGACTCATGGCGACGCCACGTACAACAGAACGAAACAGTGCCTCGTCCTGCACCGTCTTCGTGATCATTGGCATGTTTGAGCCCATTGTTTCAGCTGTTGTGTCAGTCCGTCTCATTGAGGGTTTCCCTTGTTTTCGCTGACCCTCTGCTTTGATATCCTTTGGTAGTGGTTGGTCTTTCCTGATGATGTGTCCAATGTAAGCAAGTTGAAGTCTCACCATCCTTGCTTCTAAGGTGCCTTCTGGGTGTATTCCTTCGAAGACTGATTTGTTCATTTTTCTGGTATCCATGGTATATTTGATAACTTGGTACACAGGTGTTTATTAAGTATCCAACCAGCAAATATATTTTTGACCATTTAGTACTCAGGTACTGTGAGTCAAAAAAGTAGTCTGTGCCCTTGAGAAGTACACAGTGTATTTGTAAAGATGTCCTACAGAACACAAAAACTTGCAGAATAAGGCAAAGCTGCACACAAAAGCTTTCGACAGCATGAACAGTCCCAGCTGTGGGCCCCTATGGGCTGTGGGCGTCACAAGAACTTTGTGGAAGAAGAAGTGAGGCTCGTGCTGGGATATATAGGAGAGTGTTGAAGGGGGCCCCTTAAATTACATGTTAAATTGTATGCGAAGAGGTGTTTTTCCTGTGGAGAGGGTCCATTGCCTCCCCTAAGTTTTCAAAGAAGAGTGTGACTCCCCAAAAGTGAAGCTTAAAGAATGGTCAGATTTGGCAAGAGGGGGAAAGCAAGGAAAGCCCTCCAGAAGGGGCACAGGGTGCAGCAAGAGCCAAGGTTCTGAGGTCTCTGCTGCCACAGGCAACCATCTCTGCAAAGACAACTTTCAGTTACCTTCTTGGATCAAAATGAAAAATCAATTACTTTATTACTTTAAAATATGTAAAAATGCATACATATTTATATACACATATTCCTAAATTAATAAAAAAATGTATTTAAAAAATTGAAAGGGTATATATTAATTCCAGTTTCATATCCAAGAAACTAAAGTTGAGAAGGTTTCTTTGAAGGTCAGAAAGTTATGTGACTGTGCCCGGGTCAGGATACAAGTAATGCAGAGGCCCATGTTTATCTTTCACCTGATTTTGCAATTTCCCTTTACTACTTTTCAGGGGATCAGGTCAGACCAGACTACTTGCCTTAGAGTCAGTTCTGACCTCATGTGTCAGAGTAGAACCGTGCTTTATAGGGTTTTCAATGGCTGTGACTTTTTGGAAGTATGTTGCCAGGCCTTTCTTCCAAGGCACCTCTCAGTGGGTTTGAACTGCCAATCTTTTGGTTAGCAGCTGAGCACTTACCATTTGCACCAGCGCAGTGGTTAAGCATTCAGCTGCTTACCAAAATGTCAGCAGTTTGAATCCACCACCCATTCCTTGGAAACCCTATGGGGCAGTTCTACTCTGCCCTGTAGGGTCGCTGTGAGTTGGAATCGACTTGATGGCAGTGGGTTAGGGACTCCATACCTTTTGGGAGGGTGTTAATTCATGTTTCCTCCAGGTTATTCACCTGGAACTTCAGCGTCCATCATGACATGATGTTGGTCCTAAGGAGGACAGTTTAAAGTCCAAGCAGATGATTTCCTCTTCTCTCTGATGACCAAGTAGCTAGCTTTTCCTCTGCTTGGTCTTTGTGTCCATTGCCTTGATGAGAACCACAGATTAGCTGGGGGGATTGGGGAGCTGCGAGCAAAGAATGAGTGAAGACTGGGGTGGGGTAAGAGTATCCTGATTGGATCACGGGGCTCATTTTATCTTGCACCTGGTGGGTTGAGGCTGGGTGTTATGGGTTCAATTGTGTCCCCTCCCTGCCAAAAAACATGCTGAAATCTTAACTCCTATACCGGTGGATGTAATGTAATGAAATGTAATCACTTTCCATAATGCAATCTAATGTTAGGTTAATGATGCCAGATTAGCATAGGATGTGTCCTAAACCTAATCACTTCTGAGTTATAAAAAGAGCAGATTAGACACAGAAGCAAGCACACACTGGGGAAGACAGATGCCATGTGAGGATCACCAAGAACCAAGGAAGGCCTAAAGCTCCCGACAAGAAAGGAATGAACATGGACTTCCAGGCTACAGAACTGTGAGAAAATACATTTCTGTTCTGTAAAGCCACCCACTTGTGGTATTTGTGTTACAGCAGCATCAGGAGACTAAGACACTGGAGCCATTAGGTGATTTCTAGAGGTGAAATGTGGATGTGTTGGTCAGAAAGGAGGATCACTAAAACAAGTTTTTAAACCTCTGAGCATTGGGGGTACAGTCTTTGAGGTGGGAACATGTATTCTTGGGGGTAGTACTTGATCCTTGAGTCAAGTGAAACTCTTAACAAAGGCTGTGACAATGTGTGCCTTAGGCTGGGTTCTCTAGAGAAGAAAAACCAGTGAAGCATACACACATACACATATACATACATATGTATATATTACCAAAAAACCATTGCCACCAAGTCAATTCCAACCCATAGTGACCCTATAGGACAGAGTAGAACTGTCCCATAGGGTTTCCAAGGAGCAGCTGGTGGATTCGAACTGCCATCCTTTTGTTAGCAGCCAGGCTCTTTAACCACTGTGCCACCAGGGCTCCTACATAAATATATGTGTGTATACACAAACACACACACACACATATACATACACACATATCTATATATACATATATACACACACGTACATATATATACAGAGGGAGATTTATCTCAAGGAAATGGCTCACGAGGTTGTAGAGGCTGGCAAGTCCCAAGTCTGTGGGTCAGGCATCAGGTTGGAGGCTTCTTCTGACTCATGTAGCTGCAGGGGCTGCCAAACCCAAGATCAGCATGCAATATGGCAGGCCCTGGCTCAAGTCCTAAGAATCAGAGGTCAGATGATGACGAGCTGGATGTAGGATCCAGAGCAAGCAAGTGAACTTTGCCAGAACACCCATATATATTGGATGCAGGCCACATCCTGGAGGAAATTCCCCTTACAACTGATTGGCAGATCATATCAGATCACATAATGAAGGTGATTACATTATATCACAAAATGGAGGATAACTACATCATTACATAACTGCCAAACTACATCATTATGTAACTGCCAAACCACTGAGAATCATGGCCCAGCCAAGTTGACACACAACCTTAATCGTCACCATGTGTATGACTGCTTTATGGGGAGGGGATTTGCAGAGATGAAGGGAGAAGAAGGGGAGAAATGTCGTTGGATCCCAATGTTAAGAGTGAGATGTTTGAGCCAGAGAAGGTGGAGAGGGTCTTGAAGCCATGAGGATGTGGTTTCAATGGGAGAAGCCTGTTAGCTCAGATCTAATAATTTAGTTGCCAAGTATGAAGAAATCCTAGGAGTTACTAATGTTCAGGCACATCCTTACTCTCATCTATTTAACTCCCCATCTCCCTTAAGCCATATGACGTTAGGCATTTCAGGCAATGATTTATCCCTTGAGATGCTTTGATATGTTGTCTTTTAAAATAGGCTGGCTTCCTTAATTTAATCACAATTCATTTGAAATGAAACATAAGTCATTAGTCTAGAACTAGCTGAAACATCCCACCCCAAGCTATTCCTATAGCAATTCTGTGTTTTGAAGAAAATTTATACTCAATCTAGCCAAGAACTGCTTTATTTTTCACTTAAATTCTCTTTTCACCAGCACATTAGCTAGCTCTGAGTTTTGCTGGAGTTGATATTGTCTTTCCCAGTATATATTTTTTATATATTTTTGGCTTAGGAAGTGTGATCACTGGGCATGGAATTGCTCAAGAGTATTTTCATTTTAAACATTTTCAACTATTTTCCCTCCACTTTTGATTTTTTTAATGAAGTGAAAAGTATAATGTGCCAGGGTTTGCTTTTCCCTTTCTTTAAGAATTCTAAGATACTGGAAGAGAAATTTAAACAATCTTTATAATCCTAATATTATCCCCTCACAATAAACCAGGTGCCATCAAGTCAACTCTGGCTCATGGTCACCCCGTGTGTCAGAGTAGAACTGTGCTCCATAGGGTTTTCAGTGTCTGATTTTTCAGAAGTAGATTGCCAGGCCTTTCTTCTGAGGTGCCTCTGGGTGAACTTGAACGGCCAACCTTTCAGTCAGCAGCTAAGTGTGTTAACTGTTTGCACTGCCCCGGGACTCTTCCCCTGACAATAGGACGTCATAAAGGGTGGCAGCACCCAAATCCAAGTGCTTCCTGTCTGGATGCTGACTGGGGAGAGTGTCTGTGCGAGGGGCTGCCTGAAGACTCAGTGTTGCTCCGCACTTGGTGACCACACTGGCTCTGCCATAGCCACACTGACCCTCTGGTCTCACAGGCAGAAGTGGCTTCTCAGACGCTGGGTCTCACTGGCTTTTTTCTCCTTTAGCCTTTCCTCTCATCATGTCAAGATGGGCTGTTTATCCTGACCCTATGGTTTGGGCCATAGTTTCTTCCCAGAACTGTCCTAATCACTTCTCAAAGGGTCTCTGCTGACTGCAGTCTTCTTCATCCGGCCCATGTTCCCCGGATCATCTTCTAAAATCTACCATTCTCACATTTATCATACCTTTGCTTATTGTCTTGGCGTGCCCCCCAGTGTCTGCTGCCCACCCGTATTTCAGTTTCATCTCTTTCCCCTGTCTGCCTCCCACCTTGTGCTCCAGGCCTGACAGACAGCACGCCAGCCCCAGACAAAGCGTGCTCTTTTGTGGTGATAACTTTGTACGTGTTTACTCTTCTCTGCTCGTCTGGTGCACTGTGTCCCTCCCTCTAATGCGACACACATCTTCCCACTACCCAGAGCTGCTGGAGGGCCTATGCTCTGTCGTCTTCATCGCTGAGTCTCTTCATAGGCCTGGCAAGGAAGCAGCACCAGTGCAGGGCTGTGGAGTAAAGGATCTCTCTACCTTTAAAGATGTAATTCCTTAATTTTAAGTTGCTACCCCACAAGAAAGGAGATCCGGTAGCTGCTGCGATATAGAGTGTTTGTAGGAATTAACCACTGCCCATCTGTCAGTTTGTCCTCTGTGGTGGCTTGCATGTTGCTGTGAAGCTGGAAGCTATGTCACCGGTATTTCAAATACCAGCAGGGTCACCCATGGTAGATAGGTTTTAGCAGAGCTTCCAGACTAAGACAGACAGAAAGAGGGGCTTGGCAGTCTATTTCCAAAAATTAGCCAGTGAAACCCCATGGATCACAACAGAATATTGTCTGATATAGTGCTGGAATTGAGCCCCCTAGGTTGGAAGGCACTACAACAAGGGACTCAAACAACAATGATCATGAAGATGGTGCAGGACCAGGCATCATTTCGTTCTGTTACGTATAAGGTCACCATGAGTCAGCACCAATTCCAAGGCAACTAACCGTAACAATAATAGGAATTAATGTCTACACAATAGCCCTTGTTTAGACAATAATGCAATGGTTTTTGGATTCAGATGCACATCTCCAGCTGGATTGATTCCTTCCTTCATTCCTCCCTCCCTCTTAAATATTTGTTGAGTCCCTACTAAGCACAACGTGGATACAGGTCGGGGGATGGGGATGAAACAGACAGTCCCTGTCTTCACGGCACTTACTGCCTGCATAGAAGCAGGCACTGATCAAGTAATTGTCCGTGTATTTTACTCTAAACTGTGACGTGTCTCTAAAGTTAAAGCACAGGGACCAGGGCAGAGGTACCAGAGAAAACTGCTTGTTGCCGGGAGGGGGAGGGAGAGGGCTAGGAAAGGCTTCCTTAAGGAGGGGATGTTTGAGCTAAGGTCTGAGGGCTGAGCAGGAGTCAGGCAAACAATTTTCAGAATCGTGTGAGAGACTTTGCGAGGGGGCAGTAATCTAGACGGGGCGCATTTAACTGCAAGACATGAAACCCCATTCAAATTAGCTTGAGTAAGTGTGGGTTTATTAGAGCACACTGACATCTGAGGGCAAGAAATAAAACTGCGGCCGGGCGCGCGCACACTCGCGCTCTCTCTCTCTCATTTCTCTGGTCCCTGTCTGCCTCCCACCTCGTTCTCCAGGCCTGATGGGCATTTGGCATGTTCGCACACGCGCGTGCTCTCTCTCACGTTTCCGATGTCCCTTGTCTGTGATGGCTGAAGACACTAACATCACTTTCTAGCTTCAAAATCACTTTCAGTTGATGGTTTTCTGCTCTCAGTTTTGAGATGCAAACATGGTCAACCCAAGTCTACTTTGGAGTCAAACTAGGCTGCTCCTTATTTAGATGCCTACTGAATGATGTCTCCCTGAAGTAAACAAAACATGGACAATTACAAAGGGACACGTGAGGCTGCTGATCTGAAAGTCTATGTAGACCTTACACAGGTCCCTTAGAAAGTCTATAACCCTGAGAAACTGAGTTAAAAACGGCCGGTCAGTAGCCTGTTTGTATCCATTTAGCCTCAGGCGAGTTGCTATAACCGCTTCTTAAGCACAATGGTTGAGCAGGTAAAATAGCGTTCCCAGGTAAAATGAGTGCTCACTGGACTCCTTTTTCATTGGTACTTTTTGTGGTTAAAACGCTTTATGAACATGATCCCGCTTAAGCCCCATAAACAACCTCATCAGGTAGGTGTTATTTAGTCTCATTTTCCGATGAAGAAGCTGAGGCTTAAAGAGGCTACATTTTGCCCAGGTTCCCATGGTGCAGCCTTGTCAGAGCTGACGTTCAAGCCCAGCTCTCTGCTCTTAGCTGGTTATTATGAACATTCATTGGGTGCTTCCCGTGGCCTCATTTAATCCTCACAACCCCCTCACATACAATGCAGTTGAGGCACAGAAAGCTAAGCACCTTGCTGAGGTCACAGTTTGTTGGCAATTTGTAATATAAACCGTTTGTCTCTGAAGTCTGGGCTCTTAAGTGGTTGTGAACTTGGTTGTGTCTGCTTCCAGCAGTTAACCAGAAACTCACAGTTGCCTTCTAACACGCAGGAACATGCAGGGAATGGTGACTGACATGCCTCCTCTCATCCTTTCCAGGTTGCCACTCTACCTGGCATCGCTCTTCATCAGCCTCGTGTTCCTGCTGGTGAACTTGACCTGCGCGGTGCTGGTGAAGACAGGGACCTGGGAGAGGAAGGCCATTGTCTCAGTGCGCGTGGCCATCAACGACACGCTCTTCGTGCTGTGTGCTGTCTCTCTCTCGCTCTGTCTCTACAAAATTTCCAAGATGTCCTTAGCGAACATTTACCTGGAGTCTAAGGTAGGGTGGAAATGTCATCAAGCTCCCTTCATTAAAGTTGGTCCTAAACATGGTTTTCTGGTTTGGAAAGAGGACACAACAGCTGTCTTTTCCCACCTGATGGCCTACGAATGATTGGCCACATTGCGGCTGTGAGCTACAACACAGGAATGCAGTTCATTGAACTTGGGGTACAAGAAGAGTTCCCATCCAGATGCCGTAAAGTGTATCGGTGTATGCAGAATTGCTGCAGAGAGTGAAATCCTTGCCTTATAGATGCAGCCATTTAACCTACGTTTTAAAGGACTCATAGAATTGGTTCTATCAGTGATATTAAGAGCAAACACATAGCTAATGTTACCATGTTTCGGGCACTTTTATAAGCACTTTACATGTATAAACTTATTTCATGTTTACAACCCTGTGGAATTAGGTGGTATTACTATGCCCACTTTATAGGTAAGGAAATTGAGGCACAAAGAGGTCAGGTAGCTTGCCCCAGGTCATACAGCTAGTAGATGGCAGGGCCAGGATTGAGACAAGGCAGGCTGGCTCCAGGGCCTGTGGTCTCAGCCACCTTGTTGTGCTGCTGCAGACACTCAGACTGAACCCGTGATTGCCTGTGCCCAGGAGAGTGTTCTCAGCAGCGGGAACTGCTCGTGGAGTTCAGCACAGCAGTCCTCTCATGTTGATTTTCATTTACAGACACGGAGCCACACGTGTCATGGGAGGGAAGCTCCTGGCCCGCTCTTTTTTTCCCTGCTGTGCCTCACATGCAAGAATCTCTATTATCTGCTTTCTTTCTCCAGTGTTGTAAAGAAGAGCAGATATGTTGCCTGGAGCTGGGTACTGAAGTTTTTATCATCAGCCGGATCCCCCAGCTCTTCCTTCATTGACAAATTCTGAACCTGAGCCCAGAAGCGTAGTGAGAGATTAGGGCGGAGGGTGGAGGTGGGGGTAGAAGTCAAGGAGCAGATGTCCTGGATTCTGACTGGTTGTGTGACCCTGGCCTTACAGTTACTTGGCCTCTCTGGCCTTGGTTTTCTCCCTTGTGAAATGGCTGAGTGCTTCCTCTGGCCCCTCTCCTTCTAAGCCGTGTGTCCCGTGGCATGCCCTTCTGCTGCCTTTGCCATGTGGCAAAGATAAAGGGGCAGCTTGATCTTCCCCAGTATTGTGTCTTCCGTAGTGAGCCGTAGATTAAAACCTTAATCAGAGCACCCTGTGATTTGGCTGAGCTCTTGCAGAATCCCTAAAGTTAGTGGCACTGAGTAGTTTTTTCATTTACACATTTTGACAACTTTTAGACTTGATTTTACCTTACCTTTCTTCATTATATTGTCCCCCATATAAGAGCTATTCAAGGCTTTAAAAAAAGAGAACTGTGGTTTTAACAGGAGGGGTTAAATTGTAGATTGTTAAAATACTATTTAGATCACCCATATGGCAAACAAGATAATTGGGCCCCACTGGTAAAATAAAATAATATCTTAGATTTAGTGAATGAGTTCCGTATGTAAAACTCAAAAATCAGTTTTAGCTTTTGGTTACATTAACTATCTGTTTCTAGGCAGTGGTCATTAACTGACTTTGCAAATTGATAGCTTCATAAGTTGAGGCATAAATCACTGATTTCAAGTAATTCCAAGCCCTGAGTCACATCCAAATCAGTTGCCGTTGAGTGGATTCTGACTCAAGGCAGCTCCATGTGTGTCAGAGTAGAACTGTGCTCCGTAGGGTTTTCAATAGCTGATTTTTCAGAAGTAGATCGCCAGGCCTTTCTTCCAAGGTGCCTCTGGGTGGACTCGAACCTCCAAGCAGTCTTTTGATTAGCAGCTGAGCGCATTAAACATTTGCACCACCCAGGGACTCCTGAGTCACATCGGTGCTCCTGTATCCCCAGCCTAGACTCAGAACTTTCAGGAAGTGCTTGCTGCCCAGAGCCACACCAGCTCAGCAGCACAGATGCCTCCCAGCTGCCATTCCCTCTGCGATTGCTTAGTTGTTGCCGTGCAGCCAGAGGCCTGGGCACTTGGCTCACTTGCTGTGCTTATAAGCTGAGGGTTCCACTCTGAAGCTGAGCAGAGACAGCTACAGATTCAAAAAAAGAAAGAAAAAAAAAGCCATTTGCCCTTCTTGTTCGTAAAATCTAGGCCTTGGCCAAATGGCCATCTCCCAGCCAGGGCCCCAGGTTTTGAAGTGTCTGTGTGAAGGTAATTTGAGCCTGTAGGAAGGCATGTAGGATGAGAAGAGGTTTGGAGTGGAGTGAAGGTAGAGGGCTCCGACAGAACATCAGGTAAGGCTGCAGTGACTCTGAGATCCCCCAGGGGTTACCAGGTCCAGTGAAAGGAGTGGAATCTGGAATGAGGCTGCTGTCTTGCACCATGAATGGGCACACCCCTCACGCTCCTTCTGTTCCAGGGCTCCTCCGTGTGTCAAGTCACTGCCATTGGTGTGACCGTCATCCTGCTGTATACATCTCGAGCCTGCTACAACCTGTTCATCTTATCATTTTCTCAGAACAAGAATGTCCATTCCTTTGACTACGACTGGTACAACGTATCAGACCAGGTCGGTGGGTTCACCAGTAAGGGAATAACCTGCACAGTGACCACTTGCTTTTCAACATTCCATGTTGCAGGGGGGTGCCAGCTCCTTATTTCTGCTGCTGAATAGCTGTGTGACTGTGAGAAAGTCACTTACTGACCTTTGTGGTATCTGCGTCCTCATCTGTAAAATGGGGTCATAGTACCTGCCCTGCCTGTTCCATCTCACATGTTGTCTGAGAAAACTAGGAGACACACACACACACCACGCACACACACTCCACACATACCCACACACATACGCACACACCACACGCACACACATCACCTGTATACACATATACCACACACACATCACATATACACACCACACGCACACACACCACACACACACCCCACATGCACACATCACATGCACACGCATACACACCTCACACACATCACATACACCACACACACACGCACACACCACACGCATACACACCACACACACCACACATACCACACATATATAAATGAATGTTTCTCCTTTCCACACCATTCCCACTCTAGGAAGCTCTTGTCAAGCAGAACTTAGATTTTTTTTTTTTTTTAAAGTGCTTTCATATAAATATAAGATCTTATTAAGGGGTAAAATTTGTAAAGATAAAGAAAATTGTATTCAGGTTTTGGAAATAAATACAACTGTGAAGCTCTGAGAAGTTTTTTTTTTTAATAGAGCATGCATCCTAACAGGATTTGAGGAAATCTAGATAAAAGGTGTCCAAGGATATTTGGATTTTAGTAAAAGCTCATTTCACCAGTAGTTTCAATGTGATACTTTTTAAAAAATGCGTTCTATAAATTCATAGGAAATTTCTTCCTTAAATGTATGGTAGAATTTGCCAGCAAAGCCATCTAGGCCTGAAGTTTTCTTTGTTGGATAATCTATAGAAAATTAAGAGTAAGGTACAAAAATAATTTCTATTATACTCTAAATATAAACAAAGTTACTTATAAAGAAGATGAACAAAGGTAGCAAAACGTCATCTGGCATCCATGCTCACAAAGGCTCCTGTTCAAGGTGCTGGGGATATGAAAATGAACAGACTTATTCCCTGCCGTGTAGGAATTTATGGCCCACTGGGGGAAAAAGACACAAATAAGCGATTACAGTAAAGAAATATGATTTCTATAAGTGGGGTCTACTGGACTGAATTGCAAAGGTTCCTTAGCTTTTCCTGGAAAAATGTTAAATATTCAAGTATATACAAATCCACTTCTAAAATCCCAACAGTGCTTATAACAGGCTGAATTAAGTCTCTGGAAGAAAGAATAACTTTAAAATGATCATAATCAGTTAAACCTACGAAGACAAGGGTGAAATTTAGAAAAGGCACTGTCAAGATGTTATAATTAGAAAGAATTACAACCACCACCACCTCTAACCCAAACCAATACCCCAGATATAGGATAGGAGAAAGTTGGGCAGGGTACTGTTGAAAGTGTGCCCTTTTTTGAGAAAATCGAATATATTAAAATCTAAGCTTCAACAATGATAAATTAGAACCTATTCATAATACAGAGATTTGGTTTTAACAAAATAATTATTTCAATTTTTCTTTCAATCAAGAGCTCATAATTACAATGCACTTAGAACATTAATACAATTTCTAAATTCTCTTGTTTTTAGGTGATATTTATTTACGGATATATAGACCTGTGTGTTGCAAACAAAATAATCTAGGAGCCAGTGAAACAAATGACCACACACACGTTAGATGCATTCGTGTAGAATGGAAAGGGAACCGTGTACTATTGAGATGTGCTGAAGATGGGATATGAGATGCAAAGATGAATCTTCCTGAAGTGTAGCATAATTAGTTTTGGTTACCATGCTTTAAATATGATGTGATGGATGAGGATTAATAGATACCTTTAAGGCTTGGTTTTGGTGCATTCTCTTTCTTGGAAATGATGGTCTTAGTGATACAGTTGTCCAGATCCCAAGAACATAGCACTTCCCTTGAGTACCTGCCACCTGCTTTGTAGAGAGAACACAAGTGTACCAACCCCCATTGGTCATCTCACTGGTCAGGAGTCCAAACATTTTAAACTCTGAGAATTATTTTCTAGAAAAGCTAGCCTGCAATAAACTTGAAAGGGTAAAGAATTGGATATGGGCTATGTGAAGAAAAGTTTAAAAATTGACATGTTTGTCCTAGGGATGAGGTTAAAGGGTAACAATTACATGTCGCTCTCAAGAATTTAGAAGGATGCAACAAAACATTCTCACTATTCATAGATTTTTGAAGGAAAAAAAAATCAGCTTAAATTTAAATGAGAGATTTCCTTTGGACATAAGGGAGATATTTTAGGGTGAAGTGATAAAACATCAGATTGGGAGTTTCTTTGAATAGTTTGAAGAAGATAATCATTTATCCTCTATAGTTTAAGTAACCTTCCACCTGAGATCTGGACCGTCACTATTACCTGATTCAACATGCATATTTTAGGGGTGAAGGAATTACACCATATTAGAACTTTTCTCTGTTCATGTTAAATAGAATCAAATCAAATATATTTCCTCTGCCTTCTGTCTACTGACTCCATATCCCCCCTCTTTTTTTTTTTAACAGGCAGATTTGAAGAATCAGCTGGGAGATGCCGGATATGTTGTATTTGGAGTGGTCCTGTTTGTGTGGGAACTTTTACCTACTACCTTAGTAGTTTATTTCTTCCGAGTTAGAAATCCTACAAAGGACCTTGTAAGTAAAGCCACTTATATTTGCAGAAAATATCTGATTCTAATCATGAAATATAAAATTAGAATTTTTTTTTTAGCTTTTCTACAGAGAAGAGTCTTTCTTCTATCCTGTTACGATATTTAAAGCCCTTTTGTCTATTTTATCAAGAAATTTCTTTTCCCTTAATTCTCTTTGCAGTGAAATGTGTTTTTCTGTTTCGCTTTATTTTACAAAAGAAATGAAAATAAGTTGCATCTCAAGGCTGGGGAAAGTGATGAACTGCTTTCCTGATGTGACGCAGCCTCACTAGTATTTGAACCAACCAAGTCAAGGTTCAAGTAGTCCAGAAGTCAAGGCTCAGATTGTCAGGTGTGAGTGGCAAGGAAACCATAGATAAAGTCCCCAGTTAATTCACAATTCTCATATACAACTGGTTGTTTTTGTTTGTTTCCTTGTTTTTTACTGTGAGTACGTGGTGGTGAAGAACATAGTAACTGCTAGTAGAATTGGTAACCACTGCTTTGATTTGTGCTAAGGCACCAGCACAGTTTTATTCACCACTGCGTTTGCACCATTCGTGCAGATACCCATATAAGGGGTCCATGGACGGCATTTGAGATCTACAATAGCATGTTGATCTACAATAGCATGTTAGTGAATTAAAATGATTCTCTTTGCCCTGAAGCACATGATCTCCTAATTTACCAGGGGGGAGTGAATTCAGCATGAAGTATGCATAGTGATAAATGGAAAACATTTTCCCCTTTTCCTGTTGCATTCATGAAGTAACTTCTAAGCTCTCATTAGTAGGTAATTTGGGTTGGCAAATTTGGCTTGATGAAGCACTGGTATACATGAAATATCCAAGCGAGACCACCAGAGTTAATGCCATTGTTACATATGGAATTTGGTAATAATAGCTTTCAATTATGCTGTGCTTATATGTGATAGGCAGTGTTTTAAGCACTTTACATTTTTAAATTATTTAATACAGACAGTAACACTATGAGGTAGAAACTTACTATACTTACTTTTAATGAGGAAACTAAGGCTCAAAGTCACATGGTGAGTAAGAGAGAGAGCCAGGACTCAAACCAAGGTGGTCTGGCTTCAGAATCCACGGTTTTAATTACTGTGCTACACTGTGGCTTTACTGGCATCATAAGGTTTGGAGAAGCAGCTAAATGCCTAATAGGAATCCCATAGTAATAATTCCTATTACTATCTATAACTTCTGTAATTGCTTGGAGAAAGAACAGTCTAATATTCTTTTAGAGGAAAATGTGTAATTTCGCTCATAGTTATTGACTTAAAAGTGCACATGCCCTCTACAATGTTATCTGCCATCTGTGTTCATAGTTCTGTTGGTACAAACAAGTCTCTGCACTTGGCTTCATCAGAGCCAAACTTCAAAGCCTGTGCACCACTGCTTGGCCCTGGTCAGAATCACTGGGGTAGGTTCTGAGAATCCACATGTTTAATAAGCAGCCCAAGGGATTTGAATGCACTGCAGAGTTTGAGAATCTCTCTCCAGTAAATAGGCATTCTTGAACCTTTAAAATGGCCAATTTTAAGGCATCCTACCTTGTGTCATTTCCACTTTGCTTCTTATTTTATAAAAGCAGGAACTCACATGCAGATACCCATCACACAGCTTCCTCATTTCATACTCTGTTGGTTATCTTTTAAATAGACCACTAGTGATAGATACAAGGATTTTAAACCAATGGTAGATTTTATATATATGTATGTATATTTGGCTTGCTATATAATGCAGTTCTGTTGTTGTGTTTATTTGAAATCATTCCTGACAGAGGATTTTACTTTAGTAGTTGCTGGCCAAGAAGGCATCTCTGTTGCTCCAGGGTAGGTATGATCCTGAAAGTCGGCAGTGACCTCTAGAATCTACCTGAACCCAGTCACTGGAAGTTTTCTGAGAGGTGGACTTAGCTTGGGAGCTGAAATAGGATGAATCGATTATAGAGGCAGGATATGAAAACTAGATGAGAAACTCTCACAAAATGATTTCATCACTAATTATTTCATTTTTAAAATAATACGTTATGAATGTCCATATTATTACACAGCTTTATATCCAATTTGGGACTATCCTTACCTTAGCTAATTTGGTGTAGCTAATTTGGGCATTGTCTGGCTCTTCTATAAGGGATTAAAACAATGATGATTCATTGTTGCATATTTAGCAAACAAGACGCTGATAAATGTTAGTCCCTTTTAAACATAAAAACAATGGAAATGAACATGGGCTGAGCGCTTACAAACAGGTTATCACCTCCACTCAGATGATAGATCATCTGAAGTCTCCTGCAAGAAGATCTTACTTGTCTTTGTCTAGTGCGAGGCAAAGTGTCTGGAAGTGTGCTGTACACATAACTGTCTTTCTAGACTAACCCTGGAATGGTCCCCAGCCACGGATTCAGTCCCAGATCTTATTTCTTTGACAACCCTCGAAGATATGACAGTGATGATGACCTTGCCTGGAACATTGCCCCTCAGGGACTTCAGGGAAGGTAAGACCGTAGCTCATGTTATAGAGGCATGGTTAGGCACCAGCAAAATGGGTTCAAACTAAAAGAAAATTCCTACTAAAAAACCATGGAGCTGAAGGCTTGTGGTATTAGATCATTTTACAGACGTGAAATATTCAGGAATGAGAAAAGATGGATGGACATCAAGTAACAAAAGCACTATAAATTATTACATAGTGATTCCTAAGTGGTATTCCATGGAACACTATTTTCTTTAATAGGCATGCCATGTAAAAGGAAATGATGGTTTAAACAAAATTCAACTTTTTTTTTTTTTGCCAAGACTTCTCAGAGCCTATAATATGCTGATATGTACTGTGAATCTCCAAGAGGGAAATATAGTACTTGCCCATGGAATCACTGAGTGGAACATGATTTGGGAAATGCTGGCATACTTCTTTAATCAGAAGTTCTAAAGCCAGAGATTAAATTGTATAGTATTCACTTATTGGGATAAAGTATAGTTCGTAAGGACCAAAATTTCAAATTTGAATTATGTCATCAATTCTTACTTGAAAATTTCATTTAAGTTAAGGGCATTTATTTTGGTCTTGATTCTAACAAATATTTATTTCTCTAGCAAACATTTATATAGCACCTACTGTGTGTCAGATCTAGTCTTAGTCTGGAAGCTCCGCTGAAATCTGTCCACCATGGGTGACCCTGCTGTATTTGAAATACCAGTGGCATAGCTTCTAGTATCATAACACCCAGGCCACCACAGTCTGACAAACTGACAGGTGGTAGACTAAGACAGACTAGGAAGAAAGGCCTGGTGATCTGCTTCTGAAAATTAGCCAGTGAAAACCTTATGGCTCACAACAGAATACTGTCTTATACAGTGCTGGAAGATGAGCCTCCTAGGTTGGATGACACTCAAAATACAGTGGCCAACACAATGTACTTGAGCATACCAACGATCAGGAAGATGGCAGAGGACTGGGCAGTGTTTTGTTCTGTTGCACTTGGGGTCACCATGAGTAGGAGCCAGCTCAACAACAACTAACCATATGTGTCAGGCACTGTTCTAAGAGGTTCACAAGTATTCGCTCATCAGTCTTCCTAACAATCATGTGGGGTCCGTACTAGTATTAGCCTCATATTACATATAAAACTGAGGCATCTAAAGGTTAGGTGACTTGTCCAAGGTCACACAGCAAGTGGTGAGGAAAGATGCCAACTCACCACTCATTTAATTCCATGCTTTGAATCAGTACACTCTGCAAATATCCTGTATATATCTTAGTACCCCATCTCTTGGTCTCACTATGCTTATGTTATGCTTATACTTTGCTTATGCTTATACTTGTTTTTGTACTTTTGTACGTGTACTTACGCTTATAAGTGAGTTTTTTTAAAAATATCTTATTTTGTTTTAGGTGACAGTTTACACAGCAGATTACTCATTCAACAGTCTATACACAAATTGTTCCATGACATTGGCTACAATCTCCTCAATGTGTCAGCACTGTCACCTTTTTCACCCTGTCTGCCCTGTTTTCATCCATTCAGTTTCCCTGTCCCTTCTTGCCTTCTCATCTTTGCTTTTGGGTAAATGTTGACCGTTTGGTCTTATATAGTTGATTGTTTAAAGGAGCACATGCCCCACAGGTGTTACTGTTTATTTTATAGGCCAATCTATTCTTCGGCTGAAAGGTGACCTCCAGGAGTGGCTTCAGTTCCAGGTTAAAAGGGTATCTTAGGGTGATAGTCTTGGGGCTTCCTCTAGTCTCCATCAGTCCAGTAAGTCTGGTCCTTTTTTTTTTTTTTCAATCAATTTGAATTTTGTTATACATTTTTCTCCCATTCTAACCAGTACCTTCCATTGTGTCCCTGGTCAGAATGGTCGATGGTGGTAGCCAGGCACCATCTAGTTCTTCTGGTCTCAAGCTAGAAGAGGCTGTGGTTTGTGTGGGCTATTAGTTCTGTGGACTAATTTCTTCCCTGAGTCTTTGGTTTCCTTCCCTCTCCTTTGCTCCAGACAGGAAGAGACTACTAGTTGTATCTTAGATGGCCACTCACAAGCTTTTAAGACCCTAGATGCTACTCACCAAACTAAGATGCAGAACATTATCTTTATGAATTAAGTTATACCAGTTGACCTAGTTGTCCCACGAGACTATGGTCCTGAGCCTTCAAACCCAGTAAATCAATCCCATGAGGTGTTTGGATGTCTAGGAGGTATCCCTAACTGTGCCCCCATGTGCTTTATGGTATATATGAATATATATGTAGCTCATGCAAACATATATATATGCCCACAAATATACCTATATATGTATGTGCAGGTACTCCCATATACCTTCCAACACCCATATCACATATATATCTACCTGTGTAACCTCTCACATATTTTTTGCTTGTTATTACTGTTGTTGCAAAATTGTATGTTATAGTATTTACTGTAAGTTGTCCTTTATTCTTGTGTACCTCTCACTGTCTTCATGTACCTTGGTCAGGTTGTGCTGACTTCCCCCATATTGTGTATTGCCTTTCCCATCACCAGAATTAACACACGTGTCTACTATCTAGTAAGTGATTCCTTTCCCTGCCCCTCCCATCTACGGTAACCTTCAAAGAACGTTGCTTTCTGTGTGTATATGTATTCTTGACTTTTTCTAAAAGTGTTGTCATATAACATTTGTCCTTTTGTTTGACTTATTTTACTCAGTGTAATGTCCTCCAGATTCATCCATGTTATGTTTCATGGACTCATCATTATTCTTTATCGTTGCATAGTATTCCATTGTATGTAGGTACCAAAATTTGTTAATCCATTCATCCGTTAATGGGCACTTAGGTCGTGAATAATGCTGGAATGAACATGGGTGTGCATATGTCTATTCATGTCACTGCTCTTATATCTCCAGGATATATATCTGGGAATGGGATTGCTGGATCATAAGGTATTTCTATTTCTAGGTTTTTGAGGAAGCACCGTGCTGTTTTCCATAGTGGTTGTACCATTTAACAATCCCAACAGCAGTGTATAAGAGTTCCAATCTCTCCACAACCTCATCAGTATTTGTTGTTTTCTGTTTTTTTGATCAGTGCCAGTTTTGCAGGGGTGAGATAGTATCTCATTGTAGTTTTGATCTGCATCTCTCTAATAGCTAATGATTGCAAGCATCTCTTCATGTGTTTGTTAGCCACCTGAATGTCCTCTTTGGTGAAGCATCTGTCTATATCCTTTGCCCATTTTTTGATTGGATTGTTTGCCTTTTTGTTGTTGAGCTGTTGAAGTTTTCTGTATATTTTAGAGATTAGACCCTTGTCAGATATGTCGTTACCAAAAAAATTTTCCCAATGTGTAGGTTCTCTTTTTACTCTTTTGGTAAAGTCTTTTGATGAGCATAAGTATTTAATTTTTAGGTGGTCTCAGTTATCTAGTTTATCTTCTGTTGTTTGTGCATTTTAGTTGTGTTTGATAGTGTACTTAAGCCAAAAATTAGGACCACTAGCTTTTCTCTGTGTTATATTCCAGGAACTTTATAGTTTTAGGTTTAACATTTAGGTCTTTGATCCATTTTGAGTTAGTTTTTGTGTATGGTGTAAAGTATGGATGCTGTTTCATTTTTCTGCCAATGGATATCCAGTTTTGCCAGCACCGTTTGTTAAAGAGACTGCCTCTTTCCCCATTGAATGGACTTTGACCCTTTGTCAAAGATCAGCTGTCCATAGATGGGTGGATTTACTTCTGGGTTCTCAATTATGTTCCATTGTCTATGTGTCTGTCATTGTACCAGTACAAAGCTGTTGTGGTTACTGTGGCTGTGTAGTACCATAGTGCGCCTTCTGCATTTGTTTGCCGACCGTGCCCTCCTCCTATAAGGCACCTTACAAGCGCTGCCATGCCAGTCCTCTTCCACATGTTGCTGTAAAAACAAAAAAAAATTAGCATGGCATACTTAAGAAAATACCTCTGGCGGGGCAGGGAGGGCATGGCCCGGAAACACAGAAGGCATGCATTATTTGTGTAAAAATACAGTAAATTCTGAGATTAGGAAGTGTGAGGCCTCCAGGCCTCTTTTCTTTCCATATAAAGTTGGAAATTCGTTTTTCCATTTCATTAAAGAATGTTGTTGGGATTTGGATTGAGATTGCATTGTATTTATAGATCACTTGGGTAGTATTGACATTTTTACAATGTTAAGTCTTCCAGTCCATGAGCATGGAATGTTTTCCATTTATGTAGATCTCTTTTGGTTTCTTGCAGTAATGTTTTGTAGTTTTCCTTGTATAAGTTTTTTACATCCCTGGTTAGACTTATTCCTGGGTATTTTATCCTTTGGGGGGCTATTGTAAATGGTATGTTTTCTTAATTTCCTTTCACAGTTCTCTTTGTTAGTGTAGAGGAACCCAACTGACTTTTGTATGTGGATCTTGTACCTTGCCTCTTTGCTGAACCCTTCTATTCCAGTAACTTTCTTGTGGAATCTCTGGGATTTTCTACATATAGGGTCATGTCATCTGAAAATAGGGATAGTTTTACTTCTTTCTTAGCAATTGGGATACGTTTTATTTCCCTTTCTTGCTGTAAACTGCTCTGACTAGGACTTCTAGTACAATATTGAGTAAGAGTGGTGATAATGGGCATCCTTGTCTCATTCCCGTTCTCAAGGGGAAGGCTTTCAGTCTCTCTCCATTGAAAATAATGTTGGCTGTTGGTTTTGCATATATGCCCTTAATTATGTTGAGAAATTTCCCTTCTATTCCTATTTTGCTGACAGTTTATCAGGAAAGGGTGTTGGACTTTATCACATGCCTTTTCTGCATCAATTGAGATGATCATGTGATGATTTTCCTTTATTTATGTGGTAGATAATGTTGACTGTTTCTTTAATGTTGAACCACCTTCGCATCCCTGGTATGAATCCCATCTGATCATGATGTATATTATTTTATTATTTTTTTGATAAACTGTTGTATTCTGTTGGCTAGAAGTTTGTTGAGATTTTTTGTGTCTATATTCACGAGGGATGTTGGTCTGTAATTTCTTTTTTGTGGTATCTTTGCCTGGCTTTGGTATCAGGATTATGCTGGCTTCATAGAATGAATTAGGGAGTATTCCTTCCTTTTCTATGTACTGGAATAGTTTGAGTAGAATTGGTGTCAATTCTTCTCTGAATGTTTGGTAGAATTCTCC